CAACCGAGGCTGCTAGGTGACACGGGCCGCCTGTTTCCCGGCAACCGAGGCTGCTAGGTGACACGGGCCGCCTGTTTCCCGGCAACCGAGGCTGCTAGGTGACACGGGCCGCCTGTTTCCCGGCAACCGAGGCTGCTAGGTGACACGGGCCGCCTGTTTCCCGGCAACCGAGGCTGCTAGGTGACACGGGCCGCCTGTTTCTTTACAAGCAAGGACAGTAGGCAGCAGAACACTATCAATAGCTTGTTATCAGCGCAGGTGACTGCAGATTGTTGATATTTACGCATTAGCCAGCGGCAGTCAATTGGGCCCAAGTATACTGTAATGCTGAATGCATGTAAACATTAAACACATGTTACATTCTTAAAGCAAATGGACAGCTAAAACCACAAGATCCTGGTACCAGCCAGATCATTCATTTTATGTGGCGGAATAGTTCTCCTCACTCGAATGAGCCCTAAGGGTTTGTATACATTAGCTTTAGCCTTCTGAAGAGATTCACAGTGAATTTCCTATTAGAGGGCCCTTGACAGGCGGTGAGAAGGCGTTATGTCATTACCTGTTTTAACCCCTAAAAGACCACACCACCTTCCTGCAACCATGTGCAACTTGCGGCATGGCCCTTATTCAGTTGAATGGGTCATGTTCAGTGGGCCCATCAAATGTGATGGGGTTTAATTCTTGCCACAAAGCACTGTGACTGCGACATATGTACACCCCACCCACTGCTTTTGCAGGTTAAGTGGGAGCAGTTGAGGAGAGGTAAATGTGTGAATCAAGTATTTTTACCCCCCCCCCCCCCCCCGCCTTGTCTTGGCATTACTTTTAGGGAATAGAGATAGGTAGTGGGCAAGATGCACCTGCCATCTCCCATCTCCCTGCATTCTTGCAGCCATTGAGAAATACTGTGAGAGCTGTGATTGAAATACTGTGAGAGCTGTGATTGAAATACTGTGAGATTGGTCACAGCTTGTCACATGGTACAAGGCTGTTGTGAATTGCCTTGTACTATGTGATCTCTGTGATCATTCACAGATTTCCCTTGTGGTAAGCAATGATGTCAGGAAGTGACATCTTGTTTACTAGTATTCATGTGATCATATGATTGGGACCTCACACAGAGGTCCCGTACAGCAGGCACCGGATCGCTGTGCGCGCACGGCACCGGCTGTAAATGCGAGCGCCGTTTGAACGGCAACCCGCTCCTGCACTGCTCCCTTTATGTACATGGGCCAGACGGGAAGTGGTTAAGCCAGCCATACATGGATCACAAATTTGGCTGGTTCAGAAGGGACTAGCCACATTTCAGTCTATGTATGGGCACCCTGGTTGTACAATCTATCAATCTATTGTTCACCTTGTGTACAACAAGCCTATTGGGTTTTTTTCCCGACCAATTGCACCACCAGCTATTGCTGGCAGCACTAATTGTGTTCTGCTGGCAGGGAAGGCTACCCTCTGGCAGAACACTGGCACTGCGAGAGAGATTCCCCCATCAACACTGACTGTGGTGCAATAATTGAGCAATGTGCTTTCCTTCAACCTGCGGTGGAAGAAAATTGCATAATCTATGGCCTGCCTTATATGGATGACATTACACATAGCTTTATGGGTATGCTGTATCATCATGACATGGCTAGCCGCCTTTAGTCTTTACGAAATAAAGTCCAAATAATTGTGAGTGTATTAAATGAAGATGTTATGCACTCAAATTTCTATGTACTGTATTCTCACAGTACTGACTACAGGTCAGCAAGGATGGATAAATGGATGTGTGGGCTCTGCAATCAGAAAGGACATGGTAAAGGGGCACTTTTACCAGTTTTGAGTGAGTAGTAAGTAGTTTTAGTAGTAGTAAGTAATCCTAATTTACTGAAACTCCAGGTTTAGGTAAATCAGGCCAGAACTGCACGGGCTGCAGATATCCGGCTGTGTAATATCTTACATTATGAACAATGCCATTTGATAAATGATATTTAGAGTCCTGCAGAATACATGCATGTTGAAAGCGTGTATAGCGCTGCAGTGCTTAATATTGCTTTACAACGGTTGTGTACCTAGTACTGTGATTTAATATTGTTGGGGTCTATATATATATATTATCTGTCTTGCTGGTGTACTGAGCCTTTCGCTGCTCTGTATACTGTAGTTTCCTATTGAATCAACCAAAACATATTCTATGTTGACTCCACCCAGCTTCACCAAAGTCAATTGTCAATCCACTTTTGTTGAAGGAGCCAGGCAGAAAATTCTCAGCTGAACAGCACTGAGCCTAATCCGATGCAGGCAGTTTGAATCTCTGACATGTGCAGGGGGGTACCTAGTTTCTGCACATACACTGGTTTTGCTGCCCACATGCAAAACACCTCTAATAGGGTAGTGAGAAATCTTCCCTGTCTCTGCATATGTGCAGCACTTCCACAGCTCATGCACAGATGGCGCTGAATGGTTCTGCCAGGACCCAAAGGCTGGGCAGAGTCTGTGAGCTCATCTGCACATGTGTGTCATAATGGTGACATCTAGGGAGCGTAACCACTTAAAGCGGAGTTCCACTCACCCTGTCAAAAAATAAGTCAGCAGCTACAAAAAGTGTAGCTGCTGACTTTTAAAAAAAAAAAAAAAAAAAAAAAAAAAAAAAACAGCCACTTGCCTATCCTGTGGTGTGTCCCCCACAGCCCGTTTCACCGGCCGTCCTGTATTCCAGGAGGCCGGCATCTTCAATGTGGTTTCCCAACTGTGATAGCTTGCAGCTTCACAGCCAGGTACCCATTGCGCATGCACAAGTAGAGCGTTTCATGAATGGTCCTGTAGTCTTCTGGGACCTGTCATGTGTCCCAAAAGATTACAGGGAGGGAGAACAAATTCTGCTCCCCCCCCCCCCCCCCCCCCCCCCCCCCCCCCCCCCCCCCCCCCCCAAAGGTGCTACTCCTTAATGGGGAGCAGTCCTTAAAGTGGAACTTCTGCTTTAAGGAGGCCGACTGAAGTTCCAGTTGAAGCTTTTTCTGGTTGAGGCATCAGACAAGGCTCTGTAAAAACTTTGACTCCTGGCTATTATATGAAGCTGTTTGTGTCGAGTTGGCTGTACACCTCACCCCTAGCCTTAGAAAAACTTTTATTAATCTACTTTACTAGAAAATAAAAATGGGCACCTAAAATGCATCTTGGTACATTGACGAAGTCCATCGAGTGCTCCATATTTGTTGCTAAGACTGTTGGGTTTAGTGCAATTTCTTGTGCAGCTCTGCATAGAAACCAATAAGCTTCAGGTTTTTAGATTCTGACCCTGAATACATCTTTTGGGTCAGTGACTCAGAGTATTTATAGCTGGACTCTGGATGGGGGGGGGGGGGGGAAACCTTGCAGTGGGTCCCTCTCCCCAATTCATGGGTAAACGGCTCTGTTTGCCAAGGGGATGATGAATTGGGCAATACACTTCCCTTATTCCTTACTACCGCAGGGTTGTTTCTCATCATGCAGCTATTCTCCTGAAGCTTCTTTTCTTCACTGCTCAACTGTACACAGCTCTGGGACCTCATCCTTTACATCACAGGACCAGTAGTCCTGCTTTGTACATGAGTGCACTCAGGGCCCACCCACAACCTAGGAGTGTTGGTCAGTAGAATTGATAGCTGGCTGCCGGAGGAACAAAGAATAAGGCAAGTATATCACCTTATTGATCATCCTGTAGGCAGTTAACCCTTGCACTGGAGAAGAGGGTAAAGGGCTTTTCTTCCCTGAATTCAGTTTAAATTGTCAGCACAAAACCAAGGCAGCTAGCAGTTGCAGAAGGACAGTGAAGCCGTGGCAGTCTGTATTTCTCATAAGACCAATTCTCCTTATGAAAATTCCTTTAATTGTTTAGCCTATCATGTATCTAATACTGCCTACAGAGAGAAGGTGGTTTCATCTTGAAATTACTCTTGTGTGATGATTGCATACAAATGCCTAAAGTAAAATCCTTTAATTATAGAGATTAAAACTAGCTAAACCCTAAAAAGAGTTTATATTATAAGTCCAAGATATTGTAAATCTAAATCCATCAGATCAACTACTCTTTAGTAATTGTGCATCACTGGCTTGGTGTGTGTTTTTGATATAGTAAGAGGGAAGGGTTAAAAAAAAAGCCTGTTTACGTTAGACGGAAACTAGAAGTGACAAATACTCATTGCTTTCGGTTTCTTAGGGATGATCAGGGCTGTTCCAGTCCTGGGCCATCTCTATGGTCACCCAGCGGAATCACTGGCTCCAGTCCCTGGGGGGGAACCCCTTCCTCCGCCTGTAGAAGCGATCCAGTGGCTTATTAGCCACTAGGATTGCTTTTACATTAAACAACGTTGCTGGCTGGAAAGAAAAAAAGAAAAAAATATATGCCTGCAGCATCATCTTGGTTTGGGCAACCACATAATCGTTGTTCTCAGTTCGTAACTGTTAGTCACTGCTCTCTGCTCTGCCCCCCTCTAGCACTCACTAGAGGGCTGGACAGGGGAGGGGGCAGGAGCAGCTGGCTGAGGCTCTCAACTGCCTTCTGAGAGGCTGACCAAGCTACCGATCAGGCATCTGGGTGAATCCTGACATTTTTGTTGGGGTCCTTGCAGAGCCTGGCGCAGCTCTGTGATGTCAGCCAACAGCTGGCTTTCTATCTTAAAAAAAAAAAAAAAAAAAAAAAAAAAAAAGTTATGTAATTTGGGTACAGTGATACATGGCTGAGTAATCATTGTTCAGAGGGTGACAGTGCTGAAATCTGAAAAATGGCCTGAACCAGAAGGGGATGAAACAGTCTGGTCTTGAAGTGGTTAATGATATATCTGCAGTGTGTATGTGTACAATCAATATTACAGCTTGCTTTTGTTGTTGCACAACTACTAACAGTTTTGAGAAGTAACAAACTGGTTGTGTTTTTCATGTAATAGCGTTTAGGGACAGATTGTAACTGCAGAAATGATGTACTAGTAGAAATCTCATATGAAAGGTTTAATTTTTATGATGGTTTTAATTGAACAGAAAGAGTTTTATGATTTATTGGAATCTGCGGGCAATAAACTGGTCGTCGTGGATTTCACTGCAGCATGGTGTGGACCGTGCAGAAGGATTGCTCCCTTATTTGAGGTAAGATGTTCTACATTGTAGAAAGTATTTTGTTTGTCATTGTGATGCGTCAATTCTGTGAAATGTAACCTTGATTTAGGCCTGGTTCACACCCATGCATTTTTTTTTTTTTTTTTTTTTTTTTTTTCCTACCAAATATATTACACTTTCTGAACAAATTTGATATGATTTACATTATCAACAAAAACACACAGCAGAGTGCGAGTGATATCATGCTCTAATATTTAGAGGAACATGATGCTGTTACAACAATAAGTATTCCAAAGTTCATGATTTCCCCTATCCTTGTGAACAGGCCAGAAGTGGTGAAACATGTCAAGGAAGGTTGGTTTTTGGGGGGGAGACATATTGTATGCAATAATTTTTCCTGCCAATCAAATACAGCAACAGGAGCCAAGTCTGGAGTGTGGCTGGCATTCTTTCATGTCTTTTGAAGGATATTCTATTCAACTGATAGGTGAAAATGGCTGCAGCCATGATCCTGGTATCATAATTTGCAGCTGGCGATGGGCTTTACTGTAAAAGTGGTCAGAGTGGCTCCACAGCTGCCCAATCACTTTTACAGGGTGTGGAAGGGCCCTGGTGCTGTGGGGAGCCCAGGAATGCTATAATTGGTTAGGCTGGCTGCAGACCAAAGGGAGGGAAAAAAAAAAAAATCTGTTCGTTCCCCATCTCTGACAAATGAAGTCGAAAGCAAGGTGTATTATGTAACCTCTGGTTTAAGTTACCTAGCAGTTATCAGCTGGGCAAGCATCTGGTCAAACCAATCCTGGTTTATTCAGATGCTTTTGAGAGCAGAGGAGAGATCAGGGGTCCCTTTTGAGATCCTTCAAAGACCACCTGACACTGCAGGCGCTATTATTATTATTATATCGAGTTTATATAGCGCCAAAGGGTTTGCTCAGCACTGTACAATAGAGGGGGGGACAATACATGAAACAGAACAGCAACAACAAACAGCACACGAGGGGTTAGAGGGCCCTACTCTTTCGAGCTTACAATCTAGGAGATTCTAGGAGAATCTATCACAAGGGATGTTGTTTATCCTGTATAACAAGAAAGGTGATAGAAAATAAAACCTTTTAAAGAAACAATGTGTAAAAAAACAAACAAAAAAAAAACCCATTAAATACAAATAAATGTGCAGGTCCTGCATGCAATTATAATAGGTGATTGCACCACACATGTGAGGTATCACCACAAATGTTTGAGTGTAAGCAAATATCCTAGCACCAGAGCTCGTGTTTAACTCTAGAAACCTTTACAGGTTACCAGTTAAAGGAACGCCTATGGAGAGTTTTAGGTACTGTAGTTTGTTGCCATTTCATGGGCATGCAAAACTTTAAATCTTGACATGTTTGGTATCTGTTTTACTCGGCTTTTGCAACATCTTTTATTGTATTCTACCAAAAAATAACCACAAATGGGTATTGTGTTTGTGTGCACAGTTAAATGCAATTTTTAAACGTTTTTTTTCCTGAAAATTTTTGCATTTGAGTCAAAGGCTTGGCACTGTGCTAATATTTGAGACCCAACAAATTGCAGCACTCGCCTTTTTTTTTTCTAGGGCCTTTGCTTTCAGAAAATATATAATGTTCAGGGTTCTGAGTAATTTTCTACAAAAACAAAATGCTAGTTTTAACATGAGAGAAATGTTAGAATTGGCCTGAACTGGAATTGGTTAAGGGCTTATGGAGGTCTATAGCATAAACTGTTTAGTTTAGGCATAGAAGCTCAATCTATATTTAAAAACCTGTTTTTTGTTTTTTTTTCTCTTTCTCAGGAACTTTGCAAAACACATGCTGATGTATGCTTTTGTAAAGTAGACGTGGATGACGTATCAGTAAGTTGCATGAATTTGAACCCATATAATACATTTCCCTGTAGTGTGTGTTCTGTACTCTGTACCAGTGCTCGGGTAATTGGGATTTTTATTTATTTTTTTTTTGGTTCTCAAATCTATAGGCTACAAAATCTTGAACCAAAGCTGTTCAACTGAAATCCCTAGCTTAGTTGCACCTACACAATCTAATTATCTCCTAAAGTATATGGGGGGAAATTTATAAGCAGGTAGGTTCTTCGTATTTCAGAAGAGACATGCAATGTCTCTTTTGCAATACAATTATTGTACCTGCCTGTTCAGTCCTCTGCAGAATAGACAGTGAACTGTGCATGTGCAGCACCATTTGCAGCACCATTTACATTTCCGGCATGGGGTCTGCATGTTGGGGGTGAATGACGTTGCACCAGCCAGTCAAGACTGTTGAAAGCCAGAACCCAGAAGTAGCTTTGTAGAAGATGCTGGCAAAGAAACTGGCAGGCATCAGATGCTGGGTGATCAGAGTAAGCATTCTTTACGTTTCTTGTTAAGAGCAGGAGCATACAAGCAAGTTTTTGAGTAGCTCAATAATTCTACTAAAATTGCTAGCAATTTAAAAAAGTGCAGGATTAAAAAAAAAAAAAAAAAAAGCCTACATACTTGCCTAGATGGTTGCAGCATCAATCTAAGCTGCAGCTGTCTCCTGCCAATTCTACACAGAGAACTAAGTGATCAAACACCACTAATCTGAGTTCTTGGGTCCACTCTGAGCACAGAGCAGGGACTATCAGTCTCTGCTCTGTGCTCAGCCCCTCCGATGCTCACTAGAGTACCAGACTTTGGAGGGAGCAGCTGGCTCAGGCAGAAACAGAACAAACTTCAAGCAGAACAACCTAACTTGACCAGTCTGCATGCATGCATAACCTTTTGAAGGGCACGTTTTTTTTTTGATACTTGACCTGTAATAACAAAAAGAGAACAAGGTGTTATTTTGTTGTGTTTTTATTGGAGTGACAAACGCACACAAAAAATTAACTGTTTTTGGCTGCTATCTGTCAAAAGAGACCTAGATTATTATACCCTCAGCTTGGGGCATCCTGGGGGAACGTTAATCTAAAGAAGGATGGGAAAGGGTTATGAATACAATATATTTTTGTACATTTTATGGAATCCTGTTGCTTTCATGGTCCTTCCTTTTTTTTTTTTTTTTTTTTTTTTTTTTTTTTTTTTTTTTTTTTTTCCCTCTTACCTTTCGTTCGTATCTGCAACAATATCACATATGGCTCTTGATATCCTTCTTTCTTTTTTATGCAGGAGTTATCAGAATCATGTGGCGTCAAAGCCATGCCTACTTTTCAGTTTTACAAAAACAAAGAAAAGGTAAGTTACAAACCTGCTATCCATTTGTATAATTTTTTTTTTTTTTCCTGTTATATGTATTCCAAACAGTAATGACAGCTAGTCATGTATGGATGTAAAGTGCAGCTTTTTGCTAGGGTGGGGTACTTCTATTTAAGCACTCTATGATTTATAGGGTTTGTTTGTTTTTTATAAAGGGTTAGTATACTTTTTCATTGTGTGGTATACCTAGTTCTTTTAGGTCATGGATACTTTCCACATTCTCTTTTGAATAAAACATCCCAACAGAGGGATCATGATCTTCTTCTTGATATCCAACTCTTAGCTAATATATAAATCTATATAATCTCCAGCTCTGGCTGCAGTAGTCATCTCTGGCATTATATACTGAAGTACCTCTACTCTACGACAATATGTCCTCAGTCAGAAGACTGAGAAAATACTGAAAGTGCAAGGTGGCTTGTACTCCTGGTGTAACTATGCAGAAAGCAATGCTCAAAAAAAGGCACATACGGTGCATCTGGCCATGACCTATTTTATTTTAATTTTCTTGACAGGATTATGATTGGTGTGTTTCGGTATAATTCTTTAGAATACAGAACTGTATGAGTATTAAAAGGCACTGTAAGGATAAAATAAACATCATTTTCCATTACTCTTATAGGTTGCGGAATTTTGTGGTGCAGATGAGGCCAAGCTTAAGGAAACCATTGCCAAGCTGAAATGAGAGGAGCGTGTGGAACTACTAAAATCTGCCCAAATGTAAAAGACCATCCTCCCCATTTAGTTTTTTTGATATCTTATTGGGTTTTTGATATGTAAATACAAAGTACAATGCAAAACAAATGAACAATAAACAGTTGAGTACATGAACCTTCTTGTGTTTTTTTTGTAATGATGTTTTAGGAAAGCAAAAGTATCAAGTCATTGTCTAAGGAACATGCATGAACAACACCAATTCCACAAAAGTTGGGATTCTGTGTAAAATCTATATAAAAATGGTACACAATGATTTTGAAAATCTCATAAACCCATATTTTATTCACAATAGAAAAAACATGTCAAATATTTAAACTGAGAAAATGTACAATTTTAAGAAAAAAAAAAAATAAGGTTTTGAAATTGGTGGCAGCAATTATGCATTAATGTGACTCCATACCATCAGAGATGCAAGCCTTTGAACTGAGCGCTGACCAAGCTGGAAAGTCTTACTCCTCTTAGTCCAGAGGATGCAGCACCCTTGGTTGCCAAAACGAATGTAACATTTCGATTCCTCTGATTACAGCACCATTTTCCACTTTGCAACAGACTTCTTTTAAATGAGCTTTGGCCCAAAGAAGACGGCTGTATTTTCTGGATCATGTTCAGATATGACTTCTTCTTTGCCTGAGATAACTTTAACTTTTTTTTTTTTTTGGGAAGTATTCATGAACCCACACAGTGATGTCAGAGGACCAGAAGATCAAGGATATACAATATTGCATTTTGGCCTTGTCATTTGCACTTTACACTCGCCAACATCCAGTCTGCTAAAATCAAAAATTAAAAAGGGAAGGGGATTCCCCCCCCCCCCCCCCCCCCTGTCTAGGGGGATTAGAGAGCTGTCTGGTATAAATGGACAGTGGAGTCAGTTTACACCCGACTGCTCATACAGCAGTGTGGGCTTGGTCTGTCTGCTCTGCATATACTGAGTGGACACAAACCTGTCATCCACCTGCTCTTTCTGATCAGCAGGGGGATCGGTGCACAGATCCCCTGTGGATATAATCAGATTCCCCATGTATGAAAGGTGCCTAATGTGGTGGCCAAAACTAGTGATCTGAAAATAAGGGAATGCCTAAATTGACCAGGTGTTTCCACTCCTCAATGGATGGAACGAGGGGGGTACAGAGTATATAGGTTTTTGGGATAGAAATTATTATTTCATGGGATTGAGTTGTGATATCCACCATGCCCAATAAGCTATATTTAGGGCAAAAGTTATATAACTTTGACCAGTAGTGTTGTTCATATAGCGACAGGTCCACAATGAGTGAAAAAAATTGGCAACTCTGCCATAAAACAAAATGGCGTGAGTTGTAAATTCAGTTTTCAAGAGTATAGTTTTGATTAAACCATTTCAGTTGAATTAATATATGCTTTAAAGGATAAGTTTACCTTTTGACCAAATATTAACTTTTTTTTTTTTTTTCAGTAAAAAAATAAAATGTGGTTATTTTTTCGCAAGAGTCTAAAGCATTGCACTAGTGATCAGCAAATCGCTGGTGCCATGCACGTCTCCTGCAGACTTGTTAGTATATCTGCTTGCCCGTATGGGATGTAGCAACGTCTGCCTGTACGTCTGTCACAGGAAGGGGGTGGCTACAGCATCCCTAAAAAAACAGGTGGAACATGTAGCAAGTTCCAAAGGTGACATTATCTTTTATAGGAACTGTGATAGGCCATGCTTGCTTGATTTTTACAGCACTGTTTAACTTTAACTTGCATTTTTGGATAGGAAGGTGGACTGTGTTCAGTGTGGTGGGGTGTTTTTTGTTTTTTTTTTTTTTTTTTTTTTTAAATCTCTGTAAAGGCTGAACATTCAGGGAGGAAACACTAGGAGAGCAGGAGCCAGCAGTTTTGATACTTACAAACTGCAAGTGCTAGAGTAAGAACTTTAACAATAGTTTAGTGGGGAAATTTTATTCTGCTCAATGTGTTAGGCTAAAAAACACTGAGCTTATTTTTATTTTGGGCATGGTTATAACTCATTTACTATTAGCAAACCTGCTATACGTTTTGCAGAGGGCATATTTCACCTTGAATTGGTAGCTAGAAATAAAATGGAAGTTGCTTCTTTTGGACCCCTGACCATTCCACCATAGTATCTCAAGCTTTGATTTTAGAACACAGGTCCTTCCCTTTTATTTTTTTTTTTTTTTATCTTTTATAAAAATTTTCCATTAAAACAAATCATCTTGTACCAATACAATTCACATATACACAAATTCCAATTCAATTATCCTATACCCTTCCACCCCCCCATCCAAATATCGATGCCCATATCCCAAATCCTTCCTTCCAATTCCCCCCCTTAATTTCTGTCTGTAACTAAGTTCCTGCCTCCTCTCTCTCTTTCCTTCACTTAACAACCCCCCCCCCCCCCCCGCATATAGTTAATCGTACAATCCTAAACGTTCCTTCTTATACTCCCACCACTTCCAGGTATCTTTTTATATATTTTAAAATCCAACCATCTACTCCACAATTTCCTAATTTTTTTTTTTTTTTTCCATTTTATCTTCCTCCATATGGTATAAGCTTCTCCCATCCTGTTTTTTATATTCAACTCTAAACAGTCTTTTATTTTTGGGGGCTCTGGGGCTTGACAGAACTTGGGAATAAGGCCCTTAGCTGCACTAATTAGATAGTATAGTAACCTGTTTTTATATACTTTCGCTGATGATTTAGATATGTAAAATAAACACACAGGTCCTTTTTGTATGGTGGTCCCAAGTGTCTCCTGAAGATACTGGATTATTTCCTGCCAATACTCTTTTATTTTAGGACATTCCCACTAAAAAGTGCCATTGTTCTTTTTCTTTTTTTTTTTTTTTTTTTCCCACAGCCTCTCCAACATAAAGCTGAAACATCTACTTGTTTATGTGCCAGACTCGATGTAATCTACCATCTCGCCAAACATTTCTAATTAATTTCAACAGTGCTCATATCAGGGGCGGACTGACAACTCATGGGGCCCCTGTGTCCTTGCCCAAACTCACAAAAGCTATGAAAAAGGTACCAGGGGCATCTCATGGGGCCCCTTGGGCAGTGCCCGAGTTTCCAAATGGTCAGTCTGCCCCTGGCTCATATTCATTACCTCATGTGTTAATTTAAATATCTTATTCTTTTATTGCTCATTCAGTTCTGTTCCCAGCTCCGTTTCCTATTTCTCTAAGAACATGGGAGGATCCGCTCCTTCTAAATCAATAAGGATTTTGTAAATCCTAGAGGTAGCATGTTTTTGTGCTGTATTTACACTCAACAGTTTTTTCAAAAGAATGCAGATCCTCCAGCATCCTCAGTGGTTGTGGGAGCATTGAAACAAAATTACCTAACTGATAGTACTGCCACTCGTCTAATGTAAAAACAATAAATCCTTTTTTTCCTCTTTAATTGTAGGAAAGTGCACACTAACCCCCCCCCCCCCTTTTTTTTTTTTTTTTTTTTTTTTTTTCCCCCCCCCCATTATATCCTTCAAACGTGCATTTTTATCTTTAGTCTATTTTCCCGGAAATATTATCCTTCCCTGGAGGAAAGTACTCCGTTCCCTCCAACGGAATTAATTTTGAATTTATATTTCCATACCTTTTTATTGCTTGTGTATAATGTCCCACACTTAAAAGTTTCCTTGTCAAAGAACTAGTACTCACATCTAATATATGAAAATGATGTGGTATTCAGATAATCTTCTCCAATGTACCTTACTCATAGTCTTTCTTATTTACCCAACATTTCCCTTGTGAATTATATGTTCAATCCACAATTTGTGATAATATCACAGATTAAATATTTCCTAAAATTAGGCAGATTCAATCCCCTGTTCCTTTTTGCCCTACACAGTACCTCATATTTAATTCTGTTTCTTATTTACCCATATAAACTTAAGTATCGTGTCCTCTTTATTATCTCAAAGAAAAATCCTGGTAAATTCAATGGAAGCATATGAAACTTATACACTCCTGTTACATATGAAACTCCTCCTGTTAAAAGTCTCCCCAACTCATCCTTTATTTCGTTTGAGTGGAATATAATTAGCCTGGTGTATACCTTTTTTATTGCAGGAGTTAACTTAATTCCCAGATAACCTAATTCCTGTTCCCTCCATGTAAATGGAAAATCTTTTTGTAGAGTTTGCTTCTCTGTCTTTGAAACATTGATGTTCAATATCTCTGACTTTGAGGAGTTTATTTTCAGGTTTGATAGCTCTCCTTACTGTTTTAGTAGTCTCATTAAGTTAGGCAACGTTATTCTAGGATTTATGATATAAAATAACATCATCTTCATACTCTGCCACCTTATGTTCTACGTCACCTAACATTATTCCCGTTATATCCACACATTTTCTTACCATCACTAACACAGGTTCCAGGAATATTACAAATAACAAAGGAGAGATAGCGTGTCAAAAATAAATCCACAATCAACCCTGTCAAAAGCTTTTTTTAGCGTCGATCGACAAGATTGTCTGCAGCTTCTCTTTGCTCTTTGTAAAAGGAACAATGCCATTGTCCCTCCCTTCTCTGCCAGGAATGATTCCCACCTGATCCATGTGTATCCACTCCACCATCAGCTCCTTCCGTCTAGTTTCCAATACCTTTTTAGCATATCATTTTGTCTATATTTAATAAAGATATGGACCTATAACTGGCACACTGTGAGCTATCCTTCCCTTCTTTTAGTATAATTATTATAAATGCTTGCAATGATTCTTCCCTCATTCTCAACCCCTCTCCTACCGCATTCATATATGTACACATTTTAGGGGCTAGAAGATCTTTAAATTTATTATAGTAACCTAGAGTATACCTGTTGGGGCCTGGGCTCTTTCCTGCTGCCATATTTTTCAGGGCCAGGGTTTTTTCCTCCGGGGTAATTCTCTTTAGGGCCTCTCAACTTTCTTCTGTTCTTCTTGGCATTCCCGCCTCATTTAATATTTGCCTTTCTTGTCCTTTCATCCTTTCTTTT